CGGGGCAAGCATTTCTTTCCCATTTGGATTTCCTTTTAGTTTTGTTCACAATGGTACAAAAGGCAAAATGAGGGGGCCGTTTACCAGGAGAAAAGAGTGAGGAACAGCCTATGTTCCCGTCCCAGGGGAACCACCGGGGAAATTAAGGGTCCTCCTCCCCTCCAGCAGAGCGATGACAGATTTTGGACGGGCCCTCGGCCAGCCCAATGGCCAAAAACGCTTTGGGTTGTGCCAACAGGCCCTGCACAAGACAGTGGGCAAAGGGGCGGTCCTTTGGGGGGTGAAGCCGGGGGGAAGCTTCAGCGCTTTCCCATCCTAAGCAGAACTTGGGCGGGGGCCCGGGACTCGGCGGGGGGCCGGGAGACTGGCTGTTCACAGAACGTCCTCCTCTTAACCTTGTGATCCTGAGCCGTCACATGTGTTACTTTTCCCCACAATGAGAAATCAAGTCAACGAGTCAAGTAGAACAGGCCTAGGGGGTCAGGAAGGCAGGGGCCTCCGCCCCCGAATGCCCCCCCCCACCCCCGTGTGCAGAGATGGAGGAGGGCCGGGCTCAGGCCCAGCAGTACTTGCCTGAGGCAGCGGTCCACGTCATGGTCATCCCGGCAATACTGGGGGCCCCCGTGCCTCAGGGCATCCTCGGGGTTGGCGAAAGCCTGAAATACATCAGCTGAGAATTACTGTTCTCTCCACGGAACGGCCCGGTCGCCTGGGCCTTCGGCAGCCCGTCACCTCCATGTCCATTCCCCAGCATCCATGAACTCCTACTATGTGCTAAGTGCTGGGGACTCCCCGGGAACAAGGTCGCCATGGCCTGAACGTTTGTGTCCCTGGAAATTCAAATGTGGAAACGTAACCCCCAAGGTGATGGCATTTGGAGGTGGGGCCCCTCCTGCCATGTGAGGACACAGAGAGGGATGGCCACCGAGGATCCAGAAAGCAGGCCCTCACCTGACTCAGATCTGCCAGCGCCTGGCCCTGGGGCCTCCAGCCTCCAGAACGGTGGGAATTCCAGTTCTGTTGTTTATAAGCTGCCTGGCCGATAGCAGCTGATGATAAACTACGGCAAAGGCTCTCCTGTCCCTGCTCTCGAGCTCACAGTCAGATAAACCAGGAAGGACCAGGTGGTGTGAGTTAAGAAAGAGAAGACAAGGTTGGACACAAGGTTGGCCTTGAGAATGTTCACAGGAGATCCGAGCCTGAGAATCCAAGAAGTCAGGGTGTCCACAGGCCGACTCCTCCTGGGAGCCCTGGGAAGCCTAGGATTCCCCGTCCCTCAGCTGCCGGAGGAGCCTGCAGGCTCTGGCCCCGCTGCCTCCTCTGCGGCTGGAGGTCTGCCCCCTCTCTGGCCTCCCCTCCTGTCTTTCCTCCCTCTAATGTGTCTCCACAGGACATCCACACCTGTAGAGAGTGTTTGTAAGTTGATTTGAGCCAAACTGTGGACACCTGCCAGGGAACAAGATCTCCAGTTCTGCACCCTCTTTGATGCATTTGAAATTAAGCAGAAACGTAAGGAAGGTGAAATGAAGGTGGGAGAGAGCCAGGTGGGGATGATCAGAGGAGAGTTAAGGAGAGTATGTGCTCCTGAGGTGGTTACTGTTTATCTCTAAGGTGTGGACAGGGCTTGTTTGAGGCCAAAGAAATCTTTTACTAAAAGGTTACATGCCTGGGGAGTTAGGATCAGATCAACCTGTGAGGTTTCTTTCCATAGAACACCCCCTCGTTTTTTTTTTTGTTTTTTTTTTTTTGCAAATTCTGCTGCTCTAGTAAGAGGACGAAGGGGTGGGGGGCGGACCCACTTCCCAGGAAGACTCCTTCACTGAGGCGCCGGGAGGGTGAGCAGCAGGTGCCCCAGCCCCTCCGTCCAACAAGGTGGTGGCGGGCTGCCGGCAGTCCAGTGTGAGCAGCGACCCGCTGGCCCGGCGACCAGAGGACGCTGCTTTCCTGTCTGGCTCAGGACAGGACAGGACAGGACAGGAGGAGGAATTCCTCCCGAAAACTCCGAGGGAGCCCAGCTGAGCGCCCGCCTGGCCGCAGTCCCCGTGGCGGTTTGTAAAGCGACCTGGCCGGCGAGCTTGGGAATTTCCACGGAAAAGCTCCCGGGTCCTATTTCGCCGGCTCCCACCCCACCCCCACCCCACCCCCGATCTCAAATCTGCCCGGGGAGCCGCCAGGTCGGGGGAGCACGGGCGCGGGTCTCTCCTTCCACCCGGGCCCGGGCCGGCGTCCTGACAGCCCCCGCGCTCTCCCGGCGCCTCAAGTCTCATCGTGACTGGAACTCAACCTGG